GCGCAATTTCTGGCATTAACTGCCTTAACTCCTCAATTAGACCCACAGAGCAGGAACTTCAATGTTCCAAGTGCCCCTCTGTTTCCCAAAGTGGGTATATGGGTGGGAGGGGGTTCGATGCCTGGCTTCTGTTTTAGCAGAACCCAGGATCAGTGGAGCTGCAGATTCTCAAGGGTGCACTCACTTACAGGCAGGACACTTGGCAGAGATCGGCGTATCTGGGCTCTCTGCTCTCTGGTTTGGCCCTGCTTCTTTGATGTGCTCCGCCAGTTCCGTGCTGCTGTCACTGCCAGGTTATGAGGTCTTGCTGCAGCTGGAGATTTCAGGGTGGTCACGTCAGTGGGAATCGGGGTAATCAGCCTTTCTGTTCTCTGGTTTGGCCCTGGTTAGTCTTAAACTGGAGGGCTGATGTGCCCCGCCAGCTCAGTGCTGCTCCGCCGCCAGGTTAGAAAGTCCCGCTGTAACTGGAGACTGGGTTGCTAGTCCAGATGCTTTCTGGGAAGTCCTGGGGTCTCTTTACTGTGCTCTCCAAGCTTCGGAGGCCCAGCGCCTGGTGTGTCTAGCTTGTATGGCGTTTTTGTCTGGTTTTGGTGATTATATAGCGAATTCTCTGTCACTGTGGGATTGGGCGGGCCGTACCAACAGTGATGGCGCTCCTGCGGAGCTAGTATGGCGTCTAGCAGACTCGGGCCCTGGGAGGATGGTGCAGCCGCCGCGAGTGAATCTGGGACTCCGAGACACAGTACTGCTGGCCTTTGCCGATAAAGGGCTTGGGGCTCCGCCTCAGTGGCTGCAGGCCCCAGGCAGTTAGGTCTGCGCTGAGAAAGGCGAGTCGGCTGTGCCTGTGCCGAGGAGGAGGGAGGTCTGGGGGAGGGGAGTGCCGAGAGATCAAAGGATCGTTTCTCACCTTCCCCAATCAAGTCCGTGGGTGACCCGAGACCAAGGTTTTCACCTCCTGCGATGTTCCCTGTTGTTTAGAAAGTCTCTCCGTTGTTTCCCTGGCTTCAGAAGTTCTTCCACACATCAGCTCAGAACTTTATCTCCTCCACAGCTCGGAAACTGTGTGTGCTAGTCGCCTGAAGTGGGTTTTCTTGCCAGTAAGTTTATTGATCAGTACAGCCCAATGCCTAGCTCCAATTATCAAGTGTAATTTCAACTTTATCACTAAGTAAATCCAATATCTATATAATTTTGTTTTTTAATATAATTTTTATTCATTACAATTTATTCACTTTGTGTCCTAGCTGTAGCCCCATCCTCATCCCCTCTCAATCCTGCCTTCCCTCTCTTCCTCATCTCCTCCCATGCTCCTACCCCTGTCCACTGACAGGGGAGGACCTCCTCCCCTTCCCTCTGACCCTAGCCTATCAGGTCTCATAGTCTTTCATAGTCTTCTGTGGTCTGGTAAGGCTGCTCCTCCCTCAGGGGGAGGTGATCAAAGAGCCAACCACTGAGTTCATATCAGAGACAGCTCCTGTTCCACTTACTAGGACACCCATTTGGAGACTGGGCTGCCATGGATTACTTCTGTGCAGGGGCTCTAGTTTATCTCCATGAATGGTCCTTGGTTGGAGTATCAGTCTCAGAAGAGACCCCTGAGACCCCTGGTTCTGTTGTTCTCCTTGTGGAGCTCCTGTCCCCTCTAGATCTTTCTATCTCCCCCTTCTTTCATAACATTCCCTGCACTCTGCCCCAAGTTTGGCTATGAGTCTCAGCATCTGCTTTAATACCCTGCTGGGTAGTCTTTCAGAGGCCCTCTGTGGTAGACTCCTGTTGTTTCCTGTTTTTTCCCTCTCCCGATGTCTATCCCCTTTGCCTTTCTGAATTAAGCACCTTACCCAGGATCCTCCTTCTTAATTAGCTCCCTTAGGTGTACAGATTTTAATATGATTATCCTATATTATATGTCTAATATCCACTTATAAGTGAGTATACACCACATGTGTCTTTCTGCTTCTGGGATACCTCAATCAGGATGATCTTTTGTGGTTCCCACCATTTGCTTGTAAATTTCATGATTTCCTTGTTTTTAATTGCTGAGTTGTATTCTACTGTGCAAATGTACCACACTTTCTGTATCCATTCCTCAGTCACAAAGATAGACATTACCTGAGAGTAATGGGCTGAAAGACGGTTTTCCAAGTAAATGGACCCAAGAAGTAAACAGGAGAAGCCATTCTAATATCTAATAAAATAGATTTTCAACCAAAATTAATCAAAAGAGATCAGGAAGGTCACTTCATGAACATCAAAGGAAATTTCCACCGAGAAGACAATTCTGAACTTCTATGCCCCAAATACAAGGGCACTCATATTTGTAAAAGAAACATTAATAAAACTTAAGCAACACATAGATCCCCACACATTAATAGTGGGAGACTTCAATACCCCACTCTCAACAAAGGATAGATCAGAAAAACAAAACAAAACAGAAATTAAACAAAGAAACAATGACTCTAACAGAGGTCATGAGTCAAATGGACCTAACAGAGATCTATAGAACCTTTCACCCAAACACAGAATTTACCTTCTTCTCAGCACCATATGGAACCTTCTCCAAAATAGAGCATACAGTTGGTCACAAAGCAAGCCTCAACAGATATAAGAAGATTGGAATAAACAGATATAATAAGATTGGAATAAACCTTTGTATCCTATCTGAACACCATGGACCTCAACAACAGAAACAGCAAAAGGCCTACACTCACACAGAAACTGAACAACTTGCTACTCAATGACAGCTGAGTCAGAGAAGAAATAAAGAAATTAAAGACTTCCTACAATTCAATGAAAATGAAGGCACAACATACCCATACTTATGGGACACAATGAAAGCAGTGCTAAGAGGAAAGTTCATAGCACTAAGTGCCTTCGAGAAGAAATTCGAAACATCACATACAAGTAACTTAACGGCTCACATGAAAGCCCTAGGGGGAAAAAAAAAGCAGACATACCCAAGAGGAGTAGATGGCTGGAAATAATCAAACTCAGGGCTGAAGTCAGTAAATTAGAAACAAACAAAACAATTCAAAGAATCAGTGAAACCAAGAGCTAGTTGTTTGAGAAAATGTATATAATTTTCAATGTGGATGTATTGAAAACTGTGAAGCCTATTTTTTAAATTTTTTTATTTTTATTAATTACACTTTATTCACTTTTTATCCCCCCATAAGCCCCTCCCTCCTCCCTTCCCCTTCTTCACGTATGCCCCTCCCCAAGTCCACTGTTAGGGGAGGTCCTCTTCTCCTTCCTTCTGATCTTAGTCTATCAGATTACATCAGGAGTGGCTGCATTGTCATCTTCTGTGGCCTGGTAAGGCTGCTCCCCCCTCAGGGGGAGGTGATCAAAGAGCAGGCCAATCAGATTATGTCAGAGGCAGTCCCTCTTCCCTTTACTATGTAACCCACTTGGACACTGAATGTCATGTGCTACATCTGTGCAGGGGTTCTAGTTATCTCCATGAATAGTCCTTGGTTGGAGTATGAGTCTTGTGAAGCCTATTTTATACAACCAGCTTGGCATGGATGTGGGTGCCTGGGCACTTCATCCAAGCTTCTAGCTCTGCATCAAAATACCGAATCTCAGACTCAACCTAATTTCAGCTCAAACAGTATTCAAGAATATGGATAATAATTTACTTGACATCAATAACTTACATAGTTCACTCCTACTCATACACCAATTATACCCTTAAAAAATAAGTTGTACTATCATTTCCAAACGTTCGCTATGTTTCTGAAAACCAGCATCTAGTGAATAAAAGTGACTACATGTTTTAGGAAAAACGTGGATATTTGGGGTTTTTATAAGTTGATTTTTTAATCTTTTACCACTTAAAATAGAGATACCTAGTGTCCTACCCATCACCTAAACATCTTCTAGCTTCAGGCCATTCATATAAAGATTAAATGTGAATAGTTTATCACTCCTGTGATTACAGTCCACTTCGCTAAAAACCACAAGCCTTTTCGAGGCTTAGGAATGAGTTTATAAACTATTATAAAGGAATATAACTTTTTCCTATTTTACATTTTCCCTGAAACTGATTCATAGGAATGCTTTTTTTCCCAAGGGTTTCCAAACAAAAGGACAAAACCCTAAGTGGAGCGGTGGAGACGAGTTCATCCAGGGGACTCCCTGCCTCCGGCAGCACAGCACACAGTGATCTAGGCATGATAGGAAATGTCAGGTTTAGGTTTTTACAAAAATAAAAATGTGATATTGGCAGACGGTGTAAGAGAATCACTTCTACCTCACCCCGTGTGAATTTTGCTTGTTAAGTCCCAGCCTAAATTACTGATGGTGACTTCTGAGTCTTCCTTAAGCTCTAATGTCATGTAATTGGCAGAGGACAGTTGAAAATGTCTTGAAACCAATCACTCTAAATGCCTAATGAAAATACGTGTTTCGAGGGTACATTGTCATCTCAAAACCTGAAAGCAAACTACTGTCTTACCTTGTAGAGAATGATCAGTTAGTGAATGTGGACACTGGTAACACTTACTCTGGTGACTCAGGTGCTTTCCCCAATGCTGTCTAATGGCTATCTCAAAGTCCTTTAAAAATGTGACACAATGAAGAGGCTACAGGCCTAAAGCAAGTTCAGAAAGAATGGTGACTGTAACACAGGGCACCTAAATCACACTTGCACTTTCCCCCACACCTCAGCTCTGTCTCTTCAGGTCACTTAAGTGCACTCACATTCAGTGTTTGTAACCTGTAAGACAGAGGCCAAATGATGTGCCAAAACCAGCCAACCAACCAACAAACAGTCTGGAACTGACAGGGAACTGCAAATGAGCAAAGAGAATTGAAGACTCATTTTAACCCAAAGGGACAGATTCATGAGTAAAGATAGAATTAAGATTTTGAAATTGCAGCCAAAATTTGTCTTTTTTGTTCTTATTTAACACAAATATTAAATTTGATTCACTGCTTGAAATTTGAGCTTTTGGGATATTAGATTCTATGTCAAGAATAGAAGACACTTAAGCCATAAATACATTTTAATAAAAGTTTATTTTTGAACCTAGAAATGGGAAAATTTCTAAAATAAGAGTAATACAGAATGTTTTACAATATTTTAATGCTTATTTTTTAAAACTTAAATCCACCTTGTGTTTTGATTTCTGTAAGCAGAGCAAATAGAGCAGAACAGCAAATCCCCTGGACTCTGGGTTCAAAGGCCTGAATATTCAGTACCTACTTTGAGCATATGGTAAACAAAAGACAATTACTTTTCTTGGATACTTCATTTCCATTCAGAGCTTAGCAATCACTTAAATTCACATTATTCTTACACAAATAATAATCTAATGGTCCACCTAAGCAGCTAGAAATCAGAGTGATTATAAGCAAGGCAGTGGAATTTATCATTAATACAAAACAATACCTCTGCTGACAGACATTTATATTAGGCTTCAGTAGAAATATGTCAATAGCTTTACTCAAGGAAGTCCTTGTACAAAGAATTCATGTGAACAAACTTATTAAGAAAATTAGCAGGGGAAAAGAAACGGTCCTATATGGTACCAAGTAAAAGAGAGCCATCATCACAATGATGACATCAAGCACATGAAAAGGAGCTTTTGCCCACCATGCAACCGCCCCACAAAAGCTGTTCTCGGTCTTTGGCATTCTTCTGCTCTCCTACTTGCTTCAGAAAGTCACACTTATGTAACTACAGGGTATGGCATTCATATTTACTATGACTGGCAAACACTGGAAAAAACATTGGTACAGCCACACTGATTTCCAGATAACTCAATGCCCCGGAAAATAGGAGTCAATGAGGAACAGTATTCAAACAACATTGTATGATTTCTGAAAAAGGAAAAATCCAATAATCTTCAATGGAGAAGGCCATTAGGAATGTTGGGATGCTGGTTATCAAAGTGGTACCCCCAAGACATTAATTGTAACAAAGTCAAAGCCCACACTAACTTGCATCACCTCAGTTTAATAATCCAGTAAATGACAAAAAAGACAAACAATGAAAACAGCATCATATAGCATAGCAGTTTCGTTTGGCTCCCTCTGGACAAAATCTTCAGTCTTCCCATGGTTTTACCTAGAAATCCAGTTGTAGAATCAAACTGTGAATCCTATGAGAAAATAAGATAAACATAATACATTCTAATATTCTACGTATGTACATCCAAATAATTTACATATTGTTCTTAGCATATATCTTTAAAGATAATTCATATGTTTAATCAATTCGAGTATCTATTTATTAGCTTGGTAATCAGCCTGGTTGCTCCATGAAAGCAAAGCAGTTCTCTCAGTGGCTTTCATTATTCAATAAGCATTTCTTTCAGTTCTTGAGTATAATTTAAAAAACTCAAACAATCTAGGTCTTTCTTATTCCAATTATATGGATGAAAAGACATTAACAATGACAGCAAGTAATCTATGTGCCACCAAGCAAGTTACATTCATTCTCAGTTAAGGCACTATTTTTCCAAGATCAAATGTGTGAGTGTTTAGATGCTAGGACTTCATCTAAAATTTAATATGGTTAGCACAGAAAATGGAAGAGCCTTTTGTTTAGTCACATGACTTTGAAATATAGTTGAATTTGCTAAAAGTTAAGAGAATATAATATTGACAGAGCAACAAGTAGTGAGGGTTCAAATATAGGTATGAAAAAATGCCAAATTAAAATAGAGCCAGGAAAGCCTTTAAGATAAGTAGACTAGGCACAGATCAGAAATAATGAACTTGCATTACAATCTCAATATTCTGAAACGAGAAGGCACCAAATAATGAGGCTCTGTATAGTTTAGTCTCCACATAGTTCATGCACTTGAAATCCTTGCTTTTTCATGGGAGTTTCTGCATCAGAACCACTTGGGATGCTTTTCACAAAATATATATGCCTGGGCTCCTCTCCATGAGATTTTAAATGAGCTCATTTAGATAAAGAGACAGGAACATCCATTTCCAAAGAACCCTGCTTTTAATGCTGTATTTGCTTTTAAATAGTCATTTTGAATGCATGGGAAGAAACAAAGGCAGGTCTAGAGAAGCTGGGTATCCAAAGTTAGCATTAATGACTTGAAGCCCGCTCTGAGAAGAAAAGGCACATGCTCTTGAGCTTGTTTTAGACTAGAAATAAAGGGATGTTGGCTACTCTAATCTGAGACATTTGTTCAGTAGTAATCCTTAGGAGATAAAGCTGAAGAAGTAAGCATTTGTTAAGTGAAAAGCATTTAGTTGGTTGGACACAAAGTGCTTTTTGATTGCTTGGTTAATAAATTACTAGTGGGCTACCCATTAAGATTTCTAAAACCACTCAACAACAGCCATTAGCCTTCAGACTATAACAGTGCTGTAAACCCAGGATTCAAATACACTGGTTTCAATCTTCACTTATTTATATCTTAGACAAGAACAATGCAAAAAATACATTTGACAGAAATTATAAGCTGATTAGATTAATATGGAGTGGAATCCATCAGGATTTACAATGTGTAGGTTTGTTTTAACTGGATGAAAACAGAGGATGGGGGACTAGGGATAGTGGTGAGCGAAGGGGCCAGGGAAGTTGAATATACTCAAAATATAGCATAGTAAATTCTTGAAAAGTATATTAAAATATTAGTTTAAAATTAATTACACTGTAAAATATATCTTTATAAAGTTGTTAACAAAAATGTTTTTTTTAATGTAATTTCTTATTCCTGGAAAACCGACTACATGTGAAAACACTTGGCAAAATTTCCTAGTTAAAAATCATAATGACTTACCATTTCAGCTAATAGTTTGTTTTGATTTTTAACTTCATGACCTATTTCAATGGACAGCTATGAAGAAAAGGACATACACATTACTACTTACATGAAGGTATTCAAAAGTGATAAAGTAAAAGCGGCAATGTCATCCTAAGCATATATAATTTTCTGTATATATTCTAGAAATATATACTATTTCCTGATACTTGGTCTGGTGAAATCTCCTGGAAAAAATGTCCCCTCCATGAACATTTTCTCTCTTTTCCTACTTTTATTATTCAATCTCTGTGTTAACATTCTCTTCCTGGCTTTCTTATTCTAGTATACTTTGTTATGTGTGTGTGTGTTTTTTGTTTGTTTGTTTGTTTGATTGTTTGGTCATATAACAGTATTCATCTGTATGTTCCTTTCTTATATTTTAGCAAATACAAGCACTCATATGACCAGTTCAAATACAGAAAATATGGCAGTTCTTTGAATTTAGGTCTAGATTTATTATTTTAAAGATTTGTTGTAATATAACAAGAAATTACAAAAATCCTTAAAAGTATTATCCATAACCTAAAATTATACACAGGGTCTGAGCATGTGAAACAACATTATAAGTAATTACACCTGCTATGCAAAAGTATACCTCATACCTTACATAGAAAATTCACAAAAGATATTCCTTTTAAGGCACTTAACTAAATAAAATTAATTAACAAAAGTCTTTGTGAACAACCATAAATGTTCTTCTCAATTTAATCTGTATTAAAAGCACACATAATACTGATAAGAAATTATAGTAAAATTGAGATGAAGATCAGATATGAGTGTTTCCTCCAAATTCATCAAACCAGAGATGATAAAGCAGGCAGCCCAACTTACCCAACTACTTTTAGCATGGCATTCATGCCAAGGAAAGAAACCTCCAGGATATCATAGCTTTCTTCTAACACAGAAGCCCAATAATCAACATTAGAGGTTTTTGTTTGCTTATTTGTAGTTTATGCCACTCAATTCTATATTCTTCCCAATGTTACATTTCTTAACTTCTTAACATTCAACCTTATTGTGTGCATATTAGATCATTTTAATTAATGTGACTTTGGAAACAATACCATATATCAAAACACTTCAAAGTGAGGAGGAAGACAATGACATTGCTAAACGCACAGTTCCGTCTATAAAAATATGGAATAGGGGCAACAGTAGTACGTGGAGTACAAAAGAGAACTCTCACTTGTCTGGAGTAAATGCATGTGCATTCTGGATATGTTGGGGAGAAGTTCTGAAGGGCCAGGGCCATCCTCTGAAGAACATAGAGAGCAGTCAATCTATGGAGTATGAACTTAATCTATTTAATAACAGGAGAATCCAATGATTTCTGAGAGGGCAGGATGTGCTTTAAAAAATTTCTACCGATGATTGTGACAGCATTTGTGAAGATCAGAGTAAGCTAAGACAGGTGGAAAGATTCTCATAGGAGTCCACGCATAAAAATCATGGCTGTGTTAGAGGAACATGAGAAGGTCCAAGACTCAAAGACATGAGAAAAACTAAATACTATATTTTAAGCCAAGAGCAGAAAAGGATGGAAGAGCAATTTCAGTGCATCTCCTGATGTTCTGTCCAATGAAATTATTGGAAAACAAATATAAAATTTCTCCTCCTTCCAACAGTGACATTTTCTCTCCTTTCTTCCTTAAAATACTAAACCTACTTGTTAACATTCTCTGGTTCTCTTATTCTAGCACACACTGTTTCCTTCTTTATTTGTATAAATGTATTTATCTGTACATTCTTTGTACTTTGTAATATACAAGTAATACACACATACACATTTAATATTTTCCTAACAAGATGTGGCGTTTCTTTGATTATAAGTTGACTGATTATTTTAAAGATATTTTTCTTTACTCTAATAACAAATTGGGGGAAAATTACACGTTAGTATTTTCTGTAATCTAAAATTAAACAGAAAGTATGACTGGTACAGTTTGAACTACTGCATATTATGTACAGTACATTTTAGACTTTTCAAGGTATAACTTGAGAAAAAAAATGAAGCAAACGTACGGTATCTTTTAACTGGCCACATCTTCTCAGTTACTTAATGAACAACTGAACTTTTTGTGCACTTAGACCTCACTGCACCATTTCTGAATGAGTTCCTTACTGTGATAACAAAGTAAGTTCAGATCTATGAGTCAAAATGTGAACGACACTGGTTCTGTACTTACAGATTTGATAGCGGTTACTTTGCTTCTCAGACTTTCAGTGAGTCTCTCATTCTCTTCTTCACAGGCATTATATCCACTACCGGCATAGCCATAGTTCCCATAGCTGCCAGGAGGTGCTCCTTCGCCTACAAGGGTCAGAGGCACACGCATAGGATTGCAAAAACAGAAGCTACTTCTGAAAGCTTAACAGTTTAAGAAACTGAATAAGACCCCTGGAGGGCGTTGCAGACCATGTATATTTACTAGAGTAACTATTGCAAATCAATTTTTAAAAATCAGAACCAGAGATTACAACAATTTTTTTCATAGCCTCTTTTAAGTAGCATATGCATTTTCTTCAATACACATTTATTGATCACTTATTGATTGCTTACAAGACACTGAAACAGGCACAGATATACAAGAACATGTGGGAGAGAGTTTTTGCACAATAGAAACATATGTTTTAATGAACGATGTAAACATAGCACTGTCTCCCTGTCAGAGAAGCTTGGTTATAAGAGGAAAGAGAGAAAGATAATGAGGAGGAAGGGGTTCTCATGGCAAAAAGATGGTGGATTTTTACTAGCACCTTTCTCTTATAAGCAGCATGTGTGAACAGACAAGGAACAAAAGGATGAGAAGGCCATAAGTGAAAGTCTAGGAAGGAAACACAATAGCTTGTAGAGGCCATTAACTGAGATTTCTGAAGAATTTTACTCATTTTTCAACAAATATTCGAGAAGCTACCATGTGTCAAATCTATTTTCTACTATTTTTTACAGAACTTGCATTCTAGGAGATGGTATGGAAAATAGCAGTATCCATTACTGTCTACTATTGTACGTGGTAGTCACTGGGGAGACAAGAGGGACAGTGAGCATTAGGCAACAAATGCATAATAAATGTTTTGGGACCGAGGGTATTATTTCACTAAGTTTTTATTAACTGATGTCATCATTTTCTTAGTAAAGGAAGAAAACAGGCTACATCGTAAGAGGAGTAATCCTTTAGAATAGAAAGAATCATGATGAACCATGACCATAATCATTCAGTATTACTAGGAGAGGAAATTAAACATGGCTGTGGCAGTATACTGAATTGGCTTCTGCCCTCCCAGATATGAGATCTCTCGACGGAAGGGCTCCTTGGTCTCAGTAGACTGTTGAGAAGCCATGCTGTTGGATGGCTCTAGAACTGGAAGCTTTCCTTAGTATTGGGAATGCAGAAGAACAAACCCTGAAACTTGGATAATATGGTCTGATGAAAGAGTGCAGAGTATACTAAAGGGGCTAGATTGTCCACTGTTGGATGCAGCTTTGCTAGTGACCTAAGAGGGCAGAAGAAAGGAGGGATACCCTTAAAGCCATGAGCTACCACAGGCTCAGATAGCAAATGAAGTAGCAATGGCAGTAAGAACAGTAACAGTAACAGCTGAGAGAGTGGATAGCGATAAGTCTAGAGCTGAAGGATGGTTATTGTGTGACTAAGAAACTCAAAGCACAGCACAATTTAATTTTTTCAAAGTAGCAAAACCCTTGAATTCTTACAGCTCTCACTGTATCTTAACACTGACCTCTAGACTGAACTATAAGAGCATAAGCTCAGTTTATTCATCAATCACTCTGTATCTCCATTAGCACAAAGCACGCACACACACACTACAACAGTACTTAATACTTATAAATTAACTGACTAAAACAATACAATTTTAATTTACTGCTAACCAACTTTGTCAACAGCACAGTGTCTCGTGCTTCTATATGTCCTCCTGTACCTAATGAGGATTTTCTATGCAGCAGACACCAACATTTCGCCCTGTACAACAAAGGCCATAACAAAACGTTGAATATTCCAAACGGGGGGGGGGGGGGGGGGGGAACTACATACATCAACCTCCCTTCAACTCCTGGCACGCTATCACCAAGGTTCTCCATATGTATTTAAGATGGATTACAAGCTGGAAGACTGGGCATAATCATTTCTTCCCACTCACCAACTAAGATCACCACTTAAAATATTCTGTGCAAACTCTAACATGATCTCTCATTTTTTATTTGTTTTATTTGATTACAGATCTAGGTCTGACATAGTCCCCAGTAAGTAATTTTCAATTGACCAAAGTTAATCACTGGACAACTTCATTAAAGAATTTGTTCAAAATTAATGGCTACTCTGTTTTATTTGTTTTGACTCTCTGGCCTAGATTAAGTTTAATTTTAGAGTTCTTCCACTTTGTTCATTTAAAGTAAAATTCTTATGTTTTTTTCCAAAAATTTTTAATACAGTCTCAAAATTTGATCTTTCTTCAAACCATCCTCCACCGTAATACAGAAAAATGAAACAGAGCAAACTAAACTAAAATACTACAGTTGCTATTCCAAAGTTAGCCTCAATTTTTCTGTAAGAATTGATTACTATTATGAAGAACTGTAGAAAAGCAAGCCATCTTCAGCAGATATCATTTCTGAGAAATGCTACTTCCTTGAAGCAGGTTCTATCAATAATCAGGAAATTCATTTAATATCTCATGGGTAGTGTGGCAGATTTTACATATGAATACCTATCAGATTCACTATTATTTCAAATTTCAGGTCAACACACAATGGTACTTTAAAAAGTCTTCATAACATTACACCAATTTAAGTGATAAGCATACTTAACCAAATACTTACCCCTCTTCTCAACTGCACTTTAAAAAGAATTAGGAGGGACTCTAGCCTAGTGATGCAAATGTAATAAAAAATCTAATTTAATACTGTTCTGAGTAATTCTAACATACAATCATAACTAGGAACCTATTGTCAAGTCTTCCATGCCATGCATGGAAGAAAAACAGTACAGCACAAACAAAATTCCAATAGGCCAGTAGTCTACTGATGAAATGTAAACTCCTTGGAATGCCTCCGGATCCTACCTTCAATCAAATGGACTTGGCCACCATAATCTCTTGCACACACCATTCACAACTCTTCCTGAATCTTTTTTGTCATCTTCCCATGTGGGAATTACTTTTCCCAACCTCCCTTGCCAAAGGCATCCTTTTAGTTCCTTTGGCTCCAGGAAGTACACAATACTACTAAAGTACTAAGTAGTACTAAGTACTACTAAACCTCCACTTCATTCACTATCGGTTGAACTTCACTGGTGCTAGGATGAAAAGTCACCATCTTGGATCACTGTCTTCTGCTCCTCGGTTACACTGGAAGCTTTGGGGAGCACAGGCTCTGTCATAAATGATCATGCATGGAAAAACTTAGATACAAGAAATGTTTGTTGTCACCAATGATGAAAATTTAGGCATGTAAGACTAATCTTGTTTGAAAATAGTTTTTTAGGTTATTTTACACAGACTACTTTCTTTCAATGATGGCAAGCACTCATAAAACTAAATTTATAAATTCCTTCACATGCAACTATTTATTGGTAACCATGTAAAACTACATTACTGACACCTTTCACTGTCCTTACTCTTCTATGCTTTTAAATTCCACACTCTCTATTCCTATAGCCAACCTTATTAAAATAACCACCATCTCTCTGCATTGTTGTGAGTATTGTATTCACAGCGAGCAGTGAATTTTGGGTCATAAAAAAGGCCTTATTTATTTTTCATACCTAAGTTTAAGTATTTGTCCATTCACTGGCTTTAAACACCTAAGACTTTTTAGAAATGTGTTTTTAATGACAGAATGGTAATATCCTTTTTAATGTTTCATACATTTTTTTTTTTTTCAGGCACTCTGCCCTTCCTTCTTTCAAAAAAAAAAAAAAAAGATGTTAATAAAGAACTTCAGAACCAGAACAAAACGCTATTCCACTTATACTGTGTTGTTACTAACTTATTCCTTCCCCTGATCCATGAAAGCAAGAACAAGTGTTAAGTCATCAAAACTTATCACCTTCTATTGCTTTGACAGTGGGACAAGGTCTAGGTCAGAAATGTTCCAAGTAAATGTTCCTTTGACCCAGACCTTTCACAATAGGCACTTTAACAATAATTCCACGTAAGTTTACCTTTGTAACTCACTGTTACGCTACCAGAATCGTAATTAGCGAGCTTAGAGCATAACACCCACTCTCCAAATGTCACTTAAAAAAATTTTTTTTTCGAATGAGTAAAGCAAAGGAAACAGCAATGCTTGGAAAACACAGCTACTTCCAAAACTAGAACACAAAGAAAACAAACAACAACCCAGGCTACCAACCAACTCACCTACCAAACAGGTTTAAAACTTTTGTCTCAGTAGCTTAATTCAGACAAAACCGCTCAGATCTGAGACAAATGTTGGAACCTTTTCCAAAGAACCCAAACACCTCGCTTTCCAACCCCAAAGTCAGTGACAGAAGGCCGGTAGAGTTCCCCCCCGCACCCTACTCCCGCTCAGCAGGTCCTAGGGTCCCCAAACTTCGAACCTCAGCCCGGTCCTTACCCAGGCCCGCACGCCTCATCCTGCCAGGAGAGGGAAAGGAGGGCAAGGAGGAGTGGGTAAGAAAAGGCCAAGGTCACCCGACCTCGGCTTCAGTCCAAGGGTCCCTCAGAGAACCAACTTTTTGTCTCAGAGCGCCACGACATCAGTGAAGTCTAAACACCGCGCTGGTTTATGTCGTCACCTGGACACTTATAGGCGCCCTGCGATGAGATTTTAGTTGCATTCTGGGAAATGTAGTTCTCTGTCTCCTCAGATGCACTTGGCTAGGGGGGCGTGGCGGGAACCTGGTCTGGAGAGGGCGGGGCTTGCGTAAGAGAAGAGCGGGCTGCTGTGGCTCTCTGCCTGGGAGTCTGCATCTTTGCCTCTTCCACAGCCTCCAGTAAGGTACTTTCTAATGGTAACACCAACTTTAATTCACGAGATTTACTCTTCCTCTGCTGGGAGGATGGTTGACTCATCTTTCCTGCTCACCCAAAGTCAGATGGGAGAAAGTCAGGGAAAACTTTTAAGAGGGAAGAAAGAGCAATGGATTCATGACTGATCTTGCACAGTGGAACAGAGAAAACCCCCTTTCTTTGGGCTAAAACTCCTGGTAAGGAAGTGGAGAAAGTCTCTTCATTCCTTGCTAGTGCATTTGTTCCAAGTGTGGAAAAAACTGTTGACATTTAGCTCTTAAGCACTCCTTCCTACTTAGACCTTTAAAAAGTTACTCATAGATACCTAATACTTGTTTCTGTGGAGCAAGGAGTTGATTTAAGGGTTTAAAACCTTGTTGGGAGCAATGGGAATGGTTCGTTTTCTATCAAAGGGTCTTTATGGAGTAACACAGAAAGAATGGTTTTTGAGAGCTGGTAGTTGCTCACGGCCCATGTTTTACGGCGGTGTTACTACTCTATGACAGTGAAGGGTAATACAGCTTTCTGAAAGTATAGGCATAGTGCTTTCCATTATAAACACTGACCATATAAATCAATTCTCAAACTTGAACATTGACTATAATTATAGCTTAAGTCTGCTGTGTCTGTAAAATACACCTAAAACGATTTTCAATGAGATGTATTATCTGGGAAAATAAACTTAATTGTATTAAAAAATATCTTCATGAAGCTAAAGTAAGCCAACATTCTCGAAAAGCAACAGGATTAAATTATGACAGTGGTTATAACTCCCTTATAACAAATAAGCACAGGAGATTCAATGAAAAATGATAGACTTCCTTTTCACATGCAAACTATGATGGTCCTTCTCCCAACTCCATCTCTTTTTGCACCCATAAGTAGGTTTAATATACAGAATAATAATTATTGTGATTGTGATAAGAATTGACAATAAGCAGAAATAATTCTTTTTCTATTTTTTTTTGTTCTTTTAAAATTCTAAGTCAAAAACTCTAGCTTGCTTTATTGACTTGGAGATGAATAGCATCAGTAATTTTGTCTCTATTTTCAGAGATATAAAATATGTAATTCTGAGCTGTCTTCAGGAGATTGTTAACTAAAGATGACAAGATGATATTAAATGTTCTGATGATAATTACAAAAGCAAGAACATGGGCAGGAAAAGAATCCAAGAACTTTTCATTAAGATAGAATATTTTATTTTCCCTGTTCTGTTGTTTTCTGGCCATGTCTAGTGTCTATTTCTATCTCCATTCCAAGTACAAACCAAGGGATAATGTCATATAAAGCTCTTAAAACTTGTAAAATAAACATTAATTTTTCCAATCAGGTAGCAAATTCACTATCTCAAGAATTACATTTGAACATAAAAACCATAAACTAAAATCAAATAGTTTCTGGCCTACTAATCAAGTATGGGACAAAAGATAGTTTGTAAGTTGATTATTTAGTCACTAAGATGGATTCCCTGGTGAAGAAGTATGTTTAGGTTTCAAATCCAGCCCAGAAAACATCAGGATATATTACTTCTTATGCTAGACAATAAAAATCTATATAACATATGGGACAATTGAAACAGTGTATGTTTTCCTTGATGAAAATACAGATAAAAATGCAGTGTCCCTGATTCAAAATAAACGTGGTTTTGATGAAAGTTACTAAAGTTTTCCTTATTTCATGAAACCCTCAGCATTTTATTTTAGAATTAATTCTGATATCCTTCTAATAAGGAAAGTTTAATTACTAACATACATTTTATATTGTACAATGTCAATTTCAAAGACAAACCAAAGATTTAATACGTGAAATCACTAAAACTATATAATTTGTGTTTTCTGGCTCATAGATGGCTACATATTTTATTTTTGTAAGAACACTGGAAACAGTACATCAAATTAACATATTACACTTAAAATTTATTATGCATGCATGCGCATGTATGCTTGCCTTCCGTGTGTACGGGTATCATAGGATAGCATTTGGGAGTTGATGCTTTCCTTCTACAATGTCCTGAGAAAACCAAATGAGGACATTTGCAGCAAGTACTCTTAGCTGCTGAACCATCTCACTGCCCACACTGCACATCTTACTAGACACATAATCTGCCAAATTCTACCTTCAGCGTACTGTTGTTTCAAGACTGAAAGAAAAAGGAAGTAGGAGTTCTGTTGCCTTTGCCTCTATTTCTATGTAATCATTTTCACTGTAACTAACACAGGCCATGAGATGAGTAAGGGGGAATATATTAGAAATCCTTGGTGATTTTCTTCTTTCATCATAAGTTCTGATTCAAGTAGAACATATGACTATGGGGGCTATAAGTTTCCAGACTCAAGCATAAACTTGCCATCTTTACCTTGTACCTTTTTGCATCTTGCCAAACTTTGATGAAGCAGAGGGCTACCAGAATCCCGAGCATGCTAGCAAAGAACAATAAAGCACTTATTGTAAATATACCGTTTGCTCATGAACATGTTAAGTTATCCCAATAAACATCATTTACATGACACAATGTCAAAGGCAAAAATTATTAAGAATTTCAGAATAATGGCTTAAGAACACCAGATTCCTGTGGGGCTTGAGCAACTGCATAGGTTGCAGAATTTGCCTTTATCTGCAGAAAACACGATTTTGAATGTTCAAGGCCATAATTGGCAGAGGAAAAGGAAGGAAATTGAAAGCTACAGATGTGATAGATAGAGAGAAAATGGGTTCTTATAAATATATACACAGAAAGACTGGGCAGAGTGAAACATTTCAACTAACAGCGACATTAAGAAGGGAGGAAGTAGAACAGTTCATGAAAAGAAAAGAAAGGACAGAGTCGTGTGTGGCACACTCCTCCCAAAACACCAAACAAGAAGGTTTGTATGTAGAATAAGAGGCTTATTCCCTTATTCACAGGGAATGGGCTGTGATGGCAGGGGATAACGTTGCTATATCCTTTTCCAAATGTTTCTTTCTTCTACTGCTTCAGGTGTATTACTAAGCCCTGCCTCTAGGAAATGAGTCCTCCTTAATGCCAGTTGATCAGTAGAGCAACACAGTGAAGTAAAATTCCAAACTGAGCAGTCTGCCACCTTAGTATTCCAATTTTAAAATTTGAAATTTGTTGACATTTCTTAAACAAGCATTTTAGATTAATGGAGATATATTTAATTTTCATGGTATTTGCTTTAGAGGGCCATAATATTTCCTACCACTCATGGTCAATTTCATAGTTCATAGTCATTTTAATAGCATTTATTGTTAATGAAATTCATTGAATGATCATACTGATATGAATACATTAAAATGCCCAGGGGAAAAAGGATACAGCTTGGTTCTTTTTCTATGGCAGTGGTACAACACAGTGACAGATTTGTAATATTAGCAGTACACCTTGTGGGTTTTTTTTTTTTTAACCAGTGGGGCAGATTAGTTTTCTGTATTTAAGAGACAAAAACACATTTCATAGTTCTTCACAGGTTGAAATATGTCCACTAATTTTATTCATAAAACTTATATGTAATTGTGCAATTGAAGAAATAATGATAACAAAAATGTACCTGTTCATTGTAAATGCAATTCTCCTCTCCCTACTCAGCTATCTTTCTCTTCCTCCTTTCTCTGCTGCTAGTTTTTGAGTAGTTGATAACTATCTTTCTAGGTTTACAAAAAAGAGAGTGATCTCTGAACTCTTGGTTTCTAGAATAGAGCATGACTATGTCACCTATGTGCCCAAGTTATTTCATTTTTGAATTTTACTTACTTCAGAATATTCCATTATATTAAAATTATTTAATAACTGCTTCAAGAGTCATTCATAGTTGGCATCTATATTATGCTATAGTAAATAAAAATGAGTGTTTTATAAGGTTTATTATTAGCCCTAGATTATCACAGCAGTATTATTTAACCCGCCATCACAAATAATCAGACACAGACACCTGTTAGATTTTACAATTGCCTTCTTTACGTTGGGCCGGGCAGATATTTTACCTATGCTGGCTCAGTAACCTCGCCATCCAATGCCATCCGCCTTAATCCTCTTCCTCTGGTATATTTCCATCCATAATCCCACGATACTTGCTTGTATTCTTCATTTTGTCCTTTTCACTCCACTATTGGAGTCCCTCCTCTCAGCCCACACGGTTTTTTCTCCATGCAAACCCATCAGAGCATCCTCCTTCCTTCCCCCTTCCTGTCTGTCATTTCCCGTGATTCTCCTGAACCGAAGCCCAGGAACCTTAGCCAAGCCTACCCCATTCTTCCCTGCCCAGGTATAGGCTGTTAAATCAACAATCAGATATAATGACTCTGGCAGGTTCACCTATCCACAACAAGGATAGGTTCACACAACAAGGATAGATTTAACCGGGTCTTGAGGGATAGCATCAAAAAACTCCCCAACAATATTCCAAAATGATCAAGTCTGATATTCCTTTAAAATATTTTGTGAATTTCGGTAACATTTTCATGAAACAGATTCATACTGACTTCCTATTTTGATATCCTTCATGGTACATCAATATCAGTCGATATGTCTTGAGGTACTTTGCATATTAGATACACTCTTTGATGTATACCATAGGAACTTTGTGGTAAAGATAATTTCGATTTGATGTCATTAGGCCAGTTGGTGTTCAAATAAAAATGTAATGAAATCTAACTTTTTCTTAGACAAAAATAATTGAAGATGGATTATAAGTTAAAAGGTACAACAAAAAGAAAAGAAAATATTGGTATCTTTGTGTTAGAAAGAATTTCTTAAACAAACTGCAAC